TCCAACTCTGCCGCTTCTTCTGGGTTGCTCAAAACTGTCCTCAAGCTCCCCCTTTCTACAAACTCATAGATCAGGAATGAATACTCTGCATTAGAACAAAAACCATACAACTTGACAATGTTACGATGTCGTATGTCCGCTAAAGCACGAATCTCGCTTTCAAATGCTCGCAAATTGACGGATTGATTGTCATCTGATAGGTTAAGTTTCTTAACCGCAACAACTCGACCAGTTGGCAGTAGAGCTTTGTACACATTTCCATATCCTCCTGAGCCAATGCAATAGTTGGAGTTGAATTGCTCCGTTGCTTCAATAATGTTTTCATAGAGGATTTCCCCATCATATCCCCATATGGCAAATATATCTTGAAATTGGCGCTCTTTTATCTCAGATTTTTTATGACGAACAAGAAGTAAACACCCCACCAAGATAAATAACAGAGATAGAACGCCCAAAACTGGAGTAATGATTAAAATTACATGTCCGCTGCTGCTTTTCTTCTGGCTTTTGGATTCACAATGCGGGAGAACAGTGATATTACCGCAGAGGCCTTTATTGTCTCTAAGAGCATCAAATGGGGCATCAAGGAAAGCTTTAATAGGCGGAATAGGGCCCTCTAACTGATTATAAGAGATGTTAACATATGTTAAGCTCTTCAAGTCATCAAAAGTATGGGGAATGGAACCGAAGAGCATATTATGAGAAAGATTCAGTGTTTCCAACACACGTGATCTTCCAAGCTCTTGTGGAATCTCTCCTGATAACAAATTCCAACTCAAATCAAGAGTTAGAAGGGCAAATATTTTGCTTATTTCAGGTGGAATACTTTCCCCAATTAGATTGTCGCTCAGGTTCAATTGTAATAACCTAAAGCAATTCCCAAGTTGTTCTGGAATTGCTCCAGTCAGATTGTTCTTTGCCAAGCTAAGTTGTTGCAGATTAACTAGGTTTCCTATCTCCGGTGGGATTCTACCAACGAGTTGGTTGTCATTTAGCAAGAGATAAACCAGGGTTGTTAGCTTGCCTATTTCCTTAGGAATTTCCCCACTCAGCTGATTTGAAGAGAGGTCAAGCCGAGTCAAGTTAGTGGCTTGAGCTAGCTCAGGAGGTATCCTACCAGATACCTTATTGTTGGAGATCATCAAGCTTGTGAGCTTTTGACATAGACCCCAATTTGGAGAAAGTTCACCGTACAACTTGTTATCACTCAAATCAATAAAATCCAAGCTGGGATAAATGCCAAAAGCTTCTGATATATTTTCTTCAAGTTGATTCTCTTCAAGCCTTGCCCTGTATAAGCTAGTGCAGTTTCTCAAACTTCTTGTGATGGGACCAGTTAAATTGTTTCTTCTGACAGCCAAATATTTGAGTGAGCCACCAAGGCATACGTTGTCAGGTACACGGCCAGTGAGTTGATTATCATTTAATTGTAAAGATTCCAAAACAGTGAGGTTATTCATTTCAACCGGAATAGGACCAGACAAAGAGTTATTTCTAAGCTGTAAAAGAGTAAGTCTTGTCAAGTTTCCTATGGAAGCTGGGATTGGACCAGAAAGCTTGTTATCTCCCAGATTTAAAATAGTAAGATTTGTCAAGTTTCCTATGGAAGTCGGTATAACACCTATGAGATTATTTTCTAACAACTCCAAGTGGAAAAGTGATTGAATCATTCCTATTTCACGAGGAATAGAACCAGAGAGCTCATTTGTATAAAGGTAAAGAAATCCTAAATGGCTCAAATTTCCCATTGCTTTCGGGATCATACCAGTTAAGGAGTTACTGGAAAAATCAAGCGTATTAAGATTTCTTATCATCCCAAGTTCAGGAGGTATAGAACCAGATAACTGATTGTCATGAAGGTCAAGAAAATTAAGTGAACTTAACCTTCCTATTTCACTAGGAATAGAACCAGATAACTGATTGTCACGAAGGTCAAGAATATTAAGTGAACTTAACCTTCCTA